CCTGAGTCTTAGCCATGGAGAAAGATCGAATGTCTCCATTACGTATATGTATATATGCATATGTGCATATATGCATATATGCATATATGCATATATTGAGACATATTCATTCAACAAAAAGTGACTTTGTGCTCAGAGAATTCACCTCATTACACATGAACCAGAAGAATCAATTATTTAAACACTCTGGGGCCTTTTTGCCAGGGCTGAACTTTACATTTCTTCCACCAATCTGATTTCCAAAGTGGAAACATCCTCATCAAACTACAACTGGAAGAGATGGCTCCCATCGATAAACACATGGAACATACAGACCAAAAGAAAATGACACTGTTACCAAACTGGCAGGTGTCCGTAGCAAACAGTTTTAAAAAGCTGTCCGCCCTACATGGGGATCATCAATGGTTAAAGGACTGTGATGTCTGATATTCAGATGTGACTTCTTTCTCAGTTCAGACACTGTTCTTTGAAAATCCACGTTTCCGGAGTCTGGTCCTCAGGAGACCTGCACCGCGACGACAGGGCAGGTCAGCGATGTCACATGCTGGCTGGGGCAGCGTTCGGTCTCTGGATTTAAAACTCATTAGTGGAATGGCCTTTGGTAAACTGCCCAACTTGCTGCACAAGCTGAGCCTGAGTGTGCCTCCCTGAGAAACTGAAACTAAACAGGGACACAGGTAGAAAAATGATTTCAATAACGTTTGAGGTTACACTGTACCCTTGAGCAAGGTGATTTCTTAGTCTAAGTTTCCTTTAAATGTGGATCAGATACATAGATAAAGGAGTGTCAAAATACTAAATGAGATCTAATATTTCAGTGGCCCAATACTACATGTACAAGTTTTCAGTGAATGGTAGCTAATATAAAAAATACAATATCAATAAAAATGGGCAAAGTAGAATCTTTATAAGTTTATGTCAAGAAAATGTATGTATTTAAAATGGCGTTTTTTTACCTATCAGCTGGGAAGATATTAAAAATAATATCTACTGTTGCCTATTGAATAATAAAATGTTTATATGCTACAGGCAAGTACCACTATAAATTGATCCAATTTTTCTAATGGATCATTTGGCAATGTGTATGAAAGATTTTAAAAATGAAAATTTTCTTGACCAAGCCATACCATATCTAGGAATTTACCCTAAGCAACTTTTAAATGTCCAAAGATTTATGTTCATATACATACTTACTGCAATGTTGATTACCTACCTAAAAATAAAAATTAAGAGATTTTTTAAAAATAGGCTATACTTTTAATTAAACTATGGTACATATATGATATATAGAATACCTGTAAGACTCCACCCAAAACTGTTAGAACTAAATGAATTCAGTAATGTTGCAAGATACGAAATCAATACATAAAAATCTGTTGTGTTTCTGGGCACCAATAATGAACTACCAGAAAGAGAAATGAAGAAAACAATCTCAGGTACAATGGCATCAAAAAGGATAAAATACCTAAGAATAAATGTGACCAAGGAGGTGAAAACCTCTATACTGAAAACCACAAGACATCAAAGAAGTAGAAAAAGACACACATATGCAATGCTTATGAATTGGAAGGATTAATATTATTAAAATGTCCATACCACCCAAAATAATCTACAGATTCGATATAATCCCTTTCAAAAGTCTAACGTTCTTTTTCATAGAAATAGAACAAACATTCCTAAAATGTGCATGTAACCACATAAAAACCCAAAATGGCCAAAGTAGTCTAAAGAAGAACAAAGTTGGAGGTATCATGTTGCCTAATTTCAAACTATACTACAAGGCTACAGTCACCAAAACAGTATGGCACTGACATAAAAGCAGACACATAGATCAGTGGAACAGAACAGAGAGCTCAGAAATAAGCCCACAACTATATGGCCAATTAATTTATAACAAAGGAGCCAAAAATAGACAATGGGGAAAAGACTGTCTCTTCACTAAACAGACCATTATCTTCACCATACCCCCAAATTAACTCATAATAGATTAAAGATTTGCTTGCAAAACCTAAAACCATCAAACACTTAGGAAAAAACATAGGCAGTAAACTCTGTGATAGAGGTGTTAGCAATGAATATTTGAATCTGAAACCAAAAGCGAAAGCAAAAATAAACAAGCAGGACTAAATCAAATCAAAAAGACTCTACACAGCACAGGAAGCCACTAACAAAATCAAAAGGCACCTGCTGAATGGGAGAAAATAATCACATGCCTCGTATCTCACAAGGAGTTGACGTGCAAAATACATAAAGAATACACAGAATTCAATAGCAAAACAATCTGATTCTAAAATGGGCAGAAGATCAGGATAGACATTTTCCACAGAGGACATACAGATGGCCAACAGTTACATGAAAAGATACTCAACGTCACTAACCTTCATGGAATGCAAACAGTAAGAAACCACCTGACACTTGTTCGAATGCCCACCATCAAAAACACAGCCAACAAGTGTCGGTGAGGATGCGGAAGTAAGGGGGCCCTTGGGCACTGTCGGTGGGAGTGTAAATCGGTGCAGCCACCGTGGAAAACAGTGTGGAGGGTTTTCAAAAAGTTAAATACAGAGCTACCCTGTGACCCAGCTATTCCTTTTCTGGGTATTTATCTGCAGCAAACAAAAACACGAACTCAAACAGATATGCGTATGCCCATATTCATTGCAGCACCGTTTAAAATAGCCAAGACATACAAACCACCTGCATTTGCATGGAGGGATAAAGGAATGAAGAAACCATAATGTATATTTTTATATATAGTGGAATATTATTCGGTCATAAAAATAATGAAGTCTCGCCGTGTGCAACAACCTGGATTTGAAGGAGGAAGTGTGCTCAGGGGAATAAGCTGAACAGGGATGACAAATACTCGGTGAGTTCTCTTACGTGTGGAATCCAAAGAAGGGAACTCACAGCGAGGGGCAGGGTGGACGGTGGGCAAGATGGCTAAAGAGGGTAAAAATGTGTAAAAAAAATGTTGTGATTTTAATACTGAAACATAGCGTAAAAAAATAAAAAATAATGCCAACAAAATCGTTTTTCTATCTGTCGTGCTTTCAAGGAAAGGCGGCAGCTTCTAGCCTACTTTAAAATTTAAATGCACACATATGTACTCACACGTGCAACACACACAGACACACACATGTTCATTGCTTCTATGAGAATCTGTCCCGATATTCCCTTCCTTTTGAGCAAAGCCTTCTTTCTGCAATTTCATTCAATTGAGCATACCGTTTAGGCGCTCCTAGTGAAGACTTAACCTAGGCACTCTCTCCTGGCTGTCTTGAGATTCTGGTCTTTCCTTCCCATCCTCTGATAGTTCTGCCACTTTCAACTTCTAGTGCTTCGTTAAGAATTTGAGAAAACTCTCAATCACAGCACTTAAATATCTCACGGGAGATCGCCCTTAGGTGGGTAGAATGCTTGTATCCTAATTTAAGTGACACCACTGAGCTCTACAGATATGAAGTAGCTTACACAAGGCCGTATAACTGGCTGATGAGCCTCAGAACTTTTTATTAAATCAAACTTCATACACTTCACGTCAGAAGTCCTGTATTGCTGTGGCTCCTGGCGTGTCCTGAAAGTGCTGATGGAGCACCAGGCCCTCGGCTTTCAAGGGGAGGTGTAATGAACAGGCACACACACCTCCCTCTGCTCCGGTCTCTGGCGGCTCAGTAGGTTTTGATGCCCCATGCTGTGTGATGTTTAACCAAAGGTGCTCCCCGAATCTCAGCGTCAAAGAAAAGAGGTCCCTATCGAGATGGTTTCGTTCTGTTTAGACAACAAAAGATACAGAGGCTGTCATCGTTTTCTCTTTGATGTAGCAGCAGCTGGGAAGTGTCGTTTGCAGCAGTAGTTGCGTCTTTCCCCATCCTGCATCTCTCCCTGTGCCCACCCTCCCCCCTGGGACTGGTACCTGACCCTCGAAGAGGTGGCCAGGACAGGCAGAGATGCACTCCAGGGCCACCAGGGTGGCGAGAGCCCACTCTCAGGAACTGCCTTCCTGATTCCCACCAGCAAGCACCCTGCCTCAGCCAGCTATTCCTCGCCACATGTAATGTTTCAAAAAATCCTGGGCCATAACTATGAATATTCTTCTTTCTGACATTTCGACCCATACACTGAGACTCGGAGAGGCTGAGGGAGTTGACCTGCACGAAGCCATCAGCTCTGGCTCCACAATCTGGACACTGCCCACTGAGCTGTGTTCACCCGACAGAAAGCACATGCGCTGTGAGTATGGGCCTCCTGGGCTGGGGAACGGACGACACCACCTCCCACCCATCACTCTCCTGCCAGCCCATACATTCGCTAACTGAGCCCCATTTCCTGAAATGTTCCCGCACGTTTGTACCCCAGACGTCTTCCAGAATTACCGGGTACGAAAGAAATGATTTATGATGTTCCACTTTGAATGCACTAAGGCGACTTTGTAAGAGGTGCAAGTAATCCAATCCCCCCTCGTAACTCTAAGCATGATAATTCCTTCGTTATCAACACGGCAGAGAAGCAGAGTTTACAATCTGTGAAAACTGATTTGGTGGTGGTGGGAATGGAACGTGGACGTTTCCACTGTCGTACGTGTTACACCTAAGACACGAATGAACCGTAACAAAGGGGAGGAGGCCCCGCCTGCTGCTGGCCGCCCCCGGCAGTGGTGACTGCCCCAGAAACCACGTGCGATGCGTCGTTACGTCATCGGACCTGACAGATCTGGCAGCTGATTGGACTTGCCATAATAGTGTTCACTCACAGTGAGACTTGGATTGGCTACTGGGTGGTTTTTGAGTCAAATATTTTGTGTTTAAAATATTCAGAAAACTCAGGTCTAAGGAAGGGCCAGCGTCCTTCCACAGCATTTTAAATCATTTCTTTTCTTTGATTCTCCACAGCGTGCTTCCTCGTAACCACAGGGGCCTCCGTTACACTTTGTGGGATAGCGTATCACTTAGTGATGTTCGGGTACGTTTTAGTATCACACCCTCTATCCAGCGTCTTACCTCGGCTCGTAACTCACAGATCACTCTCTCCTGGCTGTCTTGAGGTTCTGGTCTTTCCTTCCCATCCTCTGATAGTTCTGCCATTTCAGTTTTAGGTTGACCATGAAGAGTGGTAAACTAAAAAAAAAAAGTTGAAACTATAATCACATGGTGCTACAAAGACTATTTCCAGGATAATCCATGCTAGTCTTTCATTGCGCTTTTAGTTTTCGTTTTAGTCTAGTCTTTTTTAGATGGATTCTGGCAGGTTTGGTGGTTGCTCATGTAATTGTTGTGCCTAAATCATTTACTTTTTTACATGTAGTTGGGAAGTCCTGAGTGGTTAGAAAACGAATCAGCAAATCCCCAAAATCCAAATTCATCAAGTGAAAATTGGGCAAAACTCAGTTACCTTCACAAACGCTTGATGCCGACCAATTAAATTCTAAATTAATGCAATTAATCCGGAGCTTTGTGTCTTGAATATTAGGCCCACACTGCTCTGTGTAATCCTGCTTATGTCTGTTTTCCGTGCAGTAGAGAGAGTATAAAGATTGCAACAGAGACCAACACGGGCGATGAAGAAGTGCACTCCATGATGCGGGAGCTGGTCGAACACGGGCAGAACATCCGCACAGGATGCCAACACACGCCCATCGGAAACCACTGCAGAAAAACAGGGTCAACAAGTGGTGGGCCCCCCAGGCAGGGGAATAGTATATATTCAGTGCTAAGAAGAAATGAGCTATAAAGCCAGGAAAAGTCACAGCAGGAATTTTAATGCTTATCAGTAAGTGGAAGGAGCCAACCTGAAAAGGTTACATATGTACTGTGAGATTCTATGGAGACAGTAAAAAGCTCAGTGGTTTTCGGGGACCGGGGAAGAGGAGACGAACAGGCGGACCACAGAGGGGTTTCAGGGCAGCGGAACTGCCCTGTGGGATGTGGTGGTGGTGGGTGCACATTATTGTACGTGCGTCTAGACCCACAGAATGTGCAAGGGTGGACCTTCAGGTAAACTAGGACTTTGGGTGATAAGTAATGTCATGGTAGTTCGACAGTTGTGACCAATGTGCCCTGGTAGAGGAGGACCTTGGTTGGGGGGGGGCACTGCATGTGTGGGGGCCACACCTTCCATTCAGCGTTATTGTGTGAATGCAAAACCTCTCCAAAACACCACGCCTATAAAGATAAACAGAAAGGGGAGAAAAATCCTATAAGTGCGCATCGTTATTTGTTCCCCACAGCTGTCATCATAATCAGGAGTTTTCAGCAGAACCATGAGATCGGATAAACATGTAAATACGTAGGTACATACACATACGCTATTGTGTTTAAACTTACAGGTACCCCTGAAACATGGAGGTAAATGTTTTCAGAGCTCGTATTACATAATTTGTGCATAATCATGCACTGAATGAGAGTGTTAACAGCTAACAGTACACCACCTACTTGGAATTTAAAAATCACGTTACTCGTAACGTTATTGTTGGCGGAAATACTAAGCACGTCCTTAATGGACGGATGCTCCCCGTGCTCTCCCCTGTGGACCGCTCACGTGCACACGTGCTCCCGAGCGCTGATCGAAGCTCGGAGACTCTCCAAACGGCTCCTTCCTCGCTCCCCTCCCTGAACTCTGGACCACGTTCCAGCTCCCTCCTTCTCTTCTCTGTCGGCATCCAAGCGTTACCACATTGGAAAGTAAAATAAGAGCTTCTCTGCCAGTCTTTGCCATCTCAGTAAATACCAGCTCCATCCTTATGTTTAATCAGGCCAGAAATATTGGATTTATTCTTACTCTGTTCTTTCTCTGGCATGCTTTATTTCCATACCTCCAAGAATTTTAGCCAGAATTCTTAAAGTAAACTTTATCTAACTCCTTCCCTCAGCCTTAAAGAATGGTAGGAGACACTAGAGAATGCTTAACTAAAATTAATGTAAATTTGGGTGCAGCCTTTTAAAAATAAGAACACCAAAAAACACTAAATAACTGATGTTAATGATCTTTAAACTGTTTTGCCCTCATGCTGATATATTCTTTACATTTTTAAAGTTCCTCTTATGATGGTATATTTAGAATCAAAAACAAAATTTCTGGTGAATTTTAGATATTAACACTTTAAAAGAAATTGTTGTATTACACTTTACTATATGCAATATTAAAAGACATAGAAATGTCAAATGCGCCATTATCTATACAAAAATTTATATTGTTAACTTTATTTCTTGGGTTTTTACTTCTATTATGCCTCCTCCAGATCTTCATACTGTATCATACTTTTATACTAGAAAATGCTCTTACTCTTTAACATGCAATTAAAATATGTATGAATATATTGTGATTGTAAGGCTTCAAATACTAAAACGGTTTCCTTCAGATTGAAGTATCTTACCTTTTACAGGTACATGCTTGCTTAAACATGACACAGGAGGGCACACCTTGTGATAAGTAATTACTGAATATAAACAATCATTTGCTGGAAATGCATCTCTTAATGAGATAGACAGATACAATTTTTCCAATTAGTTTGTGTATCCATGGGTAAAATTACTTATTGATAGAATGAAGAACTATCTTTAGTTTTATTTATTCATTTTCAAATGTAGGCGCTGAAAAAGTTGATCACACGTTGATAAAAATGGAAGATGTGTATGGTAGAGGCATCATTTGTGTTGTTTTTAAATATCTTTCTAAATGTATGGCAAAACTCAATGGTGACCTTATATCAAAATTAATTTTTATTCTCTGTACACTAATCCATGAGGTCCCATTTCAGTATATTTATGCAAAAAAGTAGAAATCACCTGAAAGGTCTTGTGACTCATTGATTAGCTGGTTTCTCAACACCAATATTTCAAAATCTCTCTTCGTGTGGTGCGCCTAAGTTTCCCCCAGTCTTGCAAATGTTCGAAAATAGCACTGAGGGAGCGAGAGAAGTATGCCTTTCATGTGAGAAGTGGGTGGCAGGTAACGTGGGAAGAGAGAACTTGCTTGCAAGGCTCTTCCTTAGGCAGATCAGCCTTTGAAAACCATCCATGGGAGCTGGGAATCTGGAGTCAAAAACCAAACAACCATCACTGTTGTCTCTGGAGATTGTGGGGACATGGCATGGTGGGGTGCTGGTAATGTTCCAATGTCTGCAAATGTCTCCGTGAAAACAGGGAAGGCCAGAGAATCACAAAATCAAAAACCTCCAGATGCAAAAACAGAAATAGACTCATGGACACAGAGAACAGGCGGTAGGGGGCCTGGGTGACAGAAGGGGAAGGGATTGGGAAGTACAGATTGGTTGTTACAGGACAGCCACGGGGATGTCAAGGGCAGCACCCAGGATACAGCCGACGGTATTGTAATAAGTGCGTGTAGTGCCAGGTAGACACTGGAGAGGAAGCCAGACGAATCACACATCATGCTGTTATACGGAGGAAAGTATGAGGAGCACAGTAAGTTCTCGCCGACAATGAAAATGTGCTTCAGGGGAGAACATTCTAAAGACACATGCCCACGAGAGAAAGACAAAATCACAGTTTTCAATGTGATCCAAACAAAAGTGATTCAATTATAAATAACGTGAAAGTGCAGCACACCCAAGAATAAAAACCTACAAGTATTATAGAACTCAGGAAAGAATTAGACAGAGAAGAAAATTCATTCCAGCATAAACTAGAAGGGACAGAAGAATAAATAAAAGCAAAGATGATGCCTTAAGAAATGATTGGTAAAAAGAAAAACAGATGCTGAAAATCCAAAAGTAATAAGATAAAAGATGAAAATGATATCAGAAACCAAAACAAAGAAGGGTGTAAACGCAGATTCAACATATTTAGAGTTTTCCAGTTCTTTCTACTAAAGCAGCCTAGAAGTACTGACTCTCCCTCCAGCCATGAGATGTCTAAAAAGAGGACAATCCTGGTGTGTCTTGTTATCGCACAGACTAAGGAAACCGTAAAAGATTGCTGGGATTGCCTGAAACACTCTCAGGTGCCAATGTAAAGAAGATTCTTCTCTCTATGGCAACTTTTGAATATCAGATTAATAACTGCAGTAGATTAAAGCACATCCAATAGGTTTCACTTCATGAATTCATATGATACTAAAAACCACTAGTTTGATTAACACTAGTTTGATTAACACTGGCTCCCCAGTGATGGAAGGCTGACATTTTATCTTCTGTATGGTTGTGGTGGTTCAGATAAAGATGTATGGGAGTTCATCAAGTCAAAAAATTATAGGTAAAATATGTGAAGAATAACATATCCCCATTGTGTCCACTGAAAATTATTTAACAGGCATTTTGAATGCCACCCCTGCATAATACAACCAACGCCCCCAACTGGGTGCAAGTGCGGGCACAGGCTCAGTGCTTGCTTCAACAATCTAAGGTTAAATATTTCACCTGACAGCTGATTTCTGTCCACAGAGTCCATCCAAGGCCAAGGGAAAGCAAGTAGAGTCCCAAAGAATAGTATTCTTCGCCCATTTACCCACAAGGATTTCACAATGACCAACACAGAATTAATTATGACTCGTAGAGAACATTCGTCTGAGAAATTCAATGCATAGTTCATCGAAAACTTAACTAGCAGGTGGATAAAATAAAACATTTAATAAGAGAAAACCATGGGGTGCAGTTCTTTATGTGGGTGTTTACCACGCTGTATAACATAGACTCAGAGAGAGTCTTAGTCTTTGAACACAAACTTGTTGGACCGATAGGAAAAGTCTGCCCGATGAATGACAAGCAGGGAGATCGGTCACTTTCCTTGGTTGCATTTTTAATCTCGAAACACAGCTGCCCCCCTTACCTTTTGAGTTAACCGTGTCTAACAACTTCAGTTACTAAAATCACAACAAAAAACGTATATCTTAGCCCCTGCAGTGGGGACCACAGTGGACGTGAATTAGCAAAAGCGGAGCAACTTCAAGTGGCTTAATGTCTTGTGATTGGAGTCCTGGCAAAGGGGTCGGGGCAAATACGTGAAAAACTAATGACTGAAATTCTTTCAAAATTGAATAGAAAGTATAAACACACACATTCAAGAAAATTTAACACACCCGAATTGCAAATGTCCTATCAACTCACAGCAAAATCAAATTGCTCAAAAGCAATCTGCTTTCATTAGTTATAAAATAGGCC